TAACCAAACCAATCAAAATGATCCAAACAAAAATATTTTCAATTTTTTTTAGAACCAAATTGGCCTACATTTTAACAAGAACCAATTGGTTGGATTTTCTCAGTTTAAGTTAACACCTGTAGTTGTAGTAACATTGCTGGGACAATATTCCTTTTTTTATTGATAGGGAACAATATTTGGGACATTGCTGGGAATCCACGATGGCTAACTATCTTAGGAATTAGTAATTCCTATGTGTTTTCCAGTACCAAATGTTGTAGGGTCAGGTGGTTGCCCCGTGAGATTAGTCGAGGTGCGCGTAAGTTGGCCCGGACAATCGCGGATTAAAAAAAAAAAGAACCAAATACTTCACCAGAGAATCAAAGGATAATATTCAATGAAGCAGATTCACAATACAAGCTTCTCCTACTTCATGTTAAGGCAATGTTTTTAGCTACAACTACAATCTCAAAGTTTTTAATTAAACTTCATGAAAACCAATTACTGTAGCACTTAGAACGGCAGCAAAGCAAGATCGCCGTCTCTTAGAACATGATCACAGTATGTACAAGTCACAGTATGTAACATATTTGGATAAATCCTACATCCCCAACAATGAATAAGTTTGAAAATTTTTCTACAAAAGTCACAGAAATAATGCAATCTGATTGGATGGATTGAATATTTTTTCAGCAACAGTCACTACATACATGACAATGCAGAACGATGGAAAATTTTTACCTTACTGAGAATTGGCTTCAGAGTCCTACACGGACCACATGTTGGTGCTGTATATAGTACACAGATAAGCCTGGGGCTTTCATGGTATAGTTTTCGAAGAGCATACTGAAGGGGAAAAATGTATGAGATTAAAATTTGCGTCAATGACAAATAACATTCTGAAAGCCCTAATCAGAGGATAATAAAATCTTATATCAAACATTCATAACATAATTATAATTACCACAACAGAAGAGAAAAATATTTACCTGGCCTCTATGCTTTGTAAGTGTAATGTCAAATCCCTCTTGAACATCCCTGTCCGTCGGTTCCTTCTTGACCTCTTCAGTTTGGGGCTGAAAGAGTAAATACATAAATGATCTGTCAGATGCTTAGTTACTCAAAGTTTGTAAAACTGATATTTTGATTGAAATGCCGAAAATGAGTCAAGAAAAAACAAAAAGATTTTTTTTTTCAATTTATTAAAAAATCCAAGACTCTTTTTTACACAATTCAGTTAATCGAATTTATAGCACGTGCCAACTAACTGAGAAGAAAGAAGTCAACTAATCAATTTCATCAGAGTTTTATTACCTGGTGGAACTCAATAAGAAGATTCTTGCTCACAAGATACCGCTCAACTGATAAAGCAGCAATGCATCCAGATCCAGAAGCTGTGACAGCTTGCCTCCATTCATGATCCTGAGAAGTTAACAAGAAAAAACAATCATAAGATTATATCATACAAGTACATGTCAATCTCATGGTTGTCCAAGTGAAAATATTTATAGAAATTACATGATGAATTTGACTGAGGAACAAATTTTTTGCCTATGTCACATCCTAATAAACGTTAGATTGACAATATAGTTCTTTAAGAAAAAGTTATCCCTTTATAGTTGACTTCTAACATCAAAAGCCGATGTGTACCATAATCCATTTATTATTATTGTTATTATTTTATATAAGAGTGCACCATAATGCATTTAGAGAAGAAAGAAATAAATAAAAATTCTGAAATAATATGCTCCAAGAGCAAAAGATTTACCAACTGCAGAGTTTATGGGATGTCCTAGGGGCCTTAAACATAAGAAAAATGGTACATTCTTATCAAGGGGAATTTTTGCTTATGCTCTTATGCCCTTATGCAAGTCTGTGCTGGAGTCTTTTGTTAGAAGAATTTAATCTGGTTTGGTCTTTGACCAAAAGATGGCAGATAACTTGTTTCAGCTTCTATCAGGGCCTATTTTGAATCCTAAAGAGTTTATCCCTCGGTTAAATGGAGTTAAGGCACTAGTGCATGAGTTGTGGTATGAAAGAAACTTGAGGTTTTTGTTGAAAAGAAGCAGCCTCCTTCAGTATGCTTGGTTCCAGCTAAATTCAAGGCTTCCTTTGAGTTCTTTATCTTCTCTATTGAAATCTTTTTCCCCAAGTTTGATTAGTTTGATTATCTTGTTTTGGGGTGCTTTTATTGCAATTTTATGAGTTTTGGATTTATTTGTAATTTTTGCTTTTTCACTTTTTCGAGAGTTTGTATCTTTGAACAATTTTGTTCCTTTTCATTATTTCAATGAGAAGTTCGTATCTTGTTCAAAAAAAAAATGGTTCATTCTTTTTTCCCTCAAATTACATGCCATAAGTCATACTGATTTAAATATATAAATGATAAATTAAGCAAGTATAGCATGAAAAGTCAAAATAGTTTATGAAAGCAAATTATAAATGGAGTGGAGCTCAAAACTGGGAAAAAAAACAAAACAAAACAAAACAAAAAACAAAAAACAAAAAAACATAATATTACAGAGAATATTTAAAGCTTCTATTTTATTCAAAGGTTAAATTAATATAACTTTCCTTTGCTTTTCATGTTTCGTAGACTATAACGTTCTTTTTTCCTTTACATTGGAAATGGAACTTTGTAGTAGAAAAACCAAGTTTTTTTATAGAAAAYGTTTGGGAGGATATCTATAGCTATACATTGGACTAACTACTAAGGATGGACCTCTTTGTGGATGCATACGTCTGTTTTAAGTAAAATAAAATGCTAATTTTCCCTGCATTTTAGGTTACAAAATTTCATTATAACTACCATTGGTTACATACAAAACATCACGATACCCGTCTCTGGGAACAATTTTAATGCAAACAACAGTATTAAAGAGCCTGCTTGTATATGCAATAGCAATAATCAAGAGTGACTTTCAGGAGGAGAATACCTGCACATCTCCAGCTGCAAATACACCTTCCACAGAAGTTTTTGCAGTACCGTCCTGCACGACCACATACCCAGAGCTATCGAGCTCAACTTGGCCTTTCAATAACTGGCTGTTTGGTGAATGACCTATTCCATAAAACAAACCCTTCGCCTCAAGCACAGATTCGTCCCCAGAATCAACTTTTCGAACTAAAATGCCAGACATCTGCCCTTTTGTATTGCTAACAATGTCCACAGCCTCCGTGTTAAAGTGCAAGGAAACATTTGGACAGTTGAACACTCTGAAACATTCGCGATAATCAACCTGTTAAACAAACATTCAGGGAGTTGAAAACTCACATACAAGTTGTTTATTAGTATCTAATTCACCAGTATCAAGACATCAAGTCAGACAGATAATTAAATATAAATTAATAGACTACCAGAAAGTATACTTTAGCTTGACATAAGTAATGTACAAACGGACTGTCACTTGGCACTAGAAACAACAGAGCCAAAGGGTTATCACAGGTTTTCCCCAAAGATCTTTGCAGGCTATTATTATTATTATTATAATTATTATTATTTTTACAAACGAGATATGAACTTTTCATTGATATAATAAAAAGAGGTCAAAGGAAACAAATTCCTGAAAGGAGAGAAAACGAAAAGAAAAAAAAAAACTCAAAGCTTTGAAAAGATTTGCAATCTTTCAAGCAAAGGCCTCGAAGAAAACATATAAAGGAACACAGGCCCTCCAACCATGAAACCAAGAACCAACAAATATATGAAAAATGTCCAAGCCTTTAAAAGAAGAAACCTCTCCAAAAAAGCCCAACTGCTTTTCGTCCTCGATTATATTGATAATCACATGCCCCCAAGGGGTAACCTAGTTGGCAAGGGCTTGGGATCTCTTGGTCACACTGGCTTCAAGGTCTTAAGTTCAAACCTTTCAGTGAGCTTAGTACCAGAAACCCTTGATGTCTCCAGGGTCCAGACCTTGGAGCAGGCGCGGGTGCCCCCAGGTATAGAGGAACAAAACTCCGACTCCCAGTTATTAAAAAAATTATATATACATATATATTGATAATCACTTGTTAAATTTTGTACTAATTTCTTAGTCCACAGGTGAGGGGAAGGTTGAAGTGTGAAAAGAAAATTAAATTTACCATATTCCATCACCTTAACCTAAACTTTTAGGTTAAGCAATGATTTAAATTTTTAATGCAAATGTTAGCTTTTTAAGGATTAAAACTAAAAAAGTCACTCAAGCAAACAAGTCAGGAACCTACTTAAAGGAATTGCAAAAGAAGAGCCTTCCATCCACGGTTGATCATAAGAAAATTATGATTACAAAAGAATTATTTGGTTTGGAGAATCACCATGTAAAAAGATAATTGAATACTATTTCAAAAAGAATCTTAGGAATTCTCTTTTTTATCTTAAAAAAATCCTTGTTCCTTTCCTTTCAAAGAAGCCACGCAAGAGTTAAAAAAATACATCAATGAATCTGGGTAACTATCCAGTGAACTAAAAATTAAAGATCAACCCCTGAAAGCAACAGAACATCAGAGAAATAGGTGATCCAAAGACTCCCCATTAGAAATGAAAAGATATTGTGCCGCCTTACGAGTTTTCCAACTTTCACTATCCTCCAAAGGCTCTAACTGGGTAGATATATTGAAGTTTTGACTTTCTTCTTCTTGCCCATCCATCACTTGATAGGACATGGGACTTCTCATGACTCAAAAAGTCACTACTATTATAAGGTACATGACATGTTGTTTCTACAGGACAGGATTACCCATAACTCGAAAAGTCACTACTATTCTAAGGTACATGATATATTGTTTCTAAGTTGTAAATTTATCCATTCTAACCTATCACCAAATGAATGTACCAGAAGGTAATAAAAGAATCATTGGATGCAAACCAGTTATGCAACTAACAACATATGTTCTCCTCTGAAGTCTGAATAAGTAATCATGTTTGTATTTTCTATTTTAAACATTCACAATATTAAAAAAATAACATGAAACAGCTATAGAAGGTGGAAACCCTATTTGAATAGTGTAAACTTTAAAGTCAGCAGTCACCACAATCTACTAGAAATTAGAATATAGCAGACATCAGGGAGACACCCATAATAATTTCCATATGAAAAATACTTGGTTTTCTCTTATAAAAGAAACAGAATTTTTCATTGATGAAATGAAAAATTATCAGAAAAAATAAAAACAATTGGGTTTTTTCTTTAAGATACGTGTGAGCATTTGCGATAGTTCCATACACCTCGAAGAATCTCGTGGGAAAACTATCTGACCCTACTATATTTGATTGCCAAGGAAACTTGTAAGATATTAAATCCTAGGTAGGTGACCACCATAGTTTGAACTCATTCCTTCTAAGTCTTTTACTTTGTTCATTGGCCATTGGTTTCTCTCAAATATTTTTGTTTAACAATAAACAAACTTTTCATTGATAGATGAAATGGGATAAAAATGTTCAAAAATACAAACACCCAAAGGAGCATAGAAAAGACGAAACGGCCAAATAAAGAACAAAACTTAAAGAAATACATGGAAATTAGTCAAAGAAGAACAAGATGCCAAAAGACTAGGCAAAACAACTAGCCGAAACAAATGAAACCACTCCCTTCAAGCTTTGGAAGCTACACCAAAAATTTGAGCTCAAGAAAAGGTTAGCTATAAGCCCTTTGAACAAAAATGACCCCTGAACAAATCCACCCGGCCAGGAAGAATCGACAACAAGTACTGCTAACACTCCCCTTCAATGTTATGCACTGGACTGCTTCTTCAAGGACCAAAAGAGGCCACAAACATGATTCCAAAAGAACCAACAGGACCCACGAAATGCTACCAGCAGAAAACTGATCTTGAGAATGACTTCTCAGAGCAATTGCAACCTTCTAGATGGTCTTCCTTTGAGAGCCACAAACAAACTAGCTTTGACTTCATTCCTCATGATAAGAAGGCCTTACAACAGCCCATTCACTAGAACTTAGTAAAAAAATGATTAACCTTTCATATTCTTTAAGAATTTTGACTCTTGAAAAAGAATAACGATAGAACAATTTAACTACTGATTACGGCTTGATTTCATAGATTTGAAAACCACAAAACTAAGCAAAAGAAGAAAGGTTTGGAGGATCAGATTGAGGACCAAAAATTGGTTAAAGACAATTAAGTCATCACTCATCAGTGTTGCTTGACTTAGGAATAACTTCTTGGAATAATGAGCAAACAATCCCTTCATCTTCTTCAAAATCTGCAATTTTTCTAATATCATTATCTCCAATTACTTTAGGAGAAAGTAGCTCTGAATCATAACTACTTACACTTATTTCTTAGTCAATATTTGAGACATCTTCATTCAGTCTTTTGGAAAAGTTTCCATTGGTTGAATTAATAACACCAACCATAACCGAAGTACTATCCTTTGTATCAACCATCTTATCAACAGTAGAAGGTTCTTTGGAAATGTCAGAGAGTCAGAGAGTGAAGGAGGTTGATCATTGTCTAAGATATTGGCAACGGATTTTTGGTTCTTAAGAAGCAAACCAAGTAAAAGTGAGCACTTTTCCTCAAGCAAATCAGACTGCTGGAAATCCTTATCAAGATTCACCTTGCTGTTTTGTGCCTCTAAAGTCGTTTTCTTGAAAAGTGACCGATTGGATGCTGCTCTCTCTTTTCGGTTATTTAAAGGTCTTTTTTGCAGCCCTCTTCCTCAACAAATCTGTTGCTTTCTCTTCTACTCCTTTCCAATTCTTCAAATTCGATCCAGGTTCTTGGTTTCTTGGAGAATAGGACTTCTCTCTCAAGTTGTGGTTATGGCTTCTCCTCCAAAAGATTTTTCGGATTTTATCATTTCAGCTCCCAAGTTACTTTCTGGTATGTCTCCTGGATGATTTTGTCACATATTAGCATGAGTGTTTGCTGGAATCCGTGATGAAGAAAAAGCTCGTCTTAATGTCTCTTATCTCGAAAAGATAATTCATATTATTAAGATTATTTGAAGGAATTGAAGGATATGATGTCTGATCCAAAAGATTCTCCATCTTTGGTTCCCTCTTCATCCAAGTAGATTTCCAACTACTTTGGCACTCAAGTTTCGATTTACGAAGGGCTTCGGCTTCTCTTCTGTTACAAGACTCGTCTTTGAAGCTTTAGATTACTTATATCTTGGTCTTTGGTTGTTATTGTTCTTATTTTGTTTGTAATGCTCCTTGTTGAGCCTCTATTATGTTCTCTTTCGTATTCCTTTTCATTTTCTCTCACTCCTCCGATAGTTTGTATCCTTGAACTCTTTCTCCTTTTCATATATCAATGAAAAGTCATTTCTTGTTAAAGTAAAAATAAATAAATAAATAAAATAAAATAAACTTCACAAAATAATGTGAAGGTGCAAAAGACAGATCTTTTTTCCTAGTATAGAAAAGAGAATAGGTTTGAACAAAGGAGTTTCTAATATCTTTAACACTAATGGGAGGCATGGAGGAATTTTCTAGAAGCCGCGTTTTATTACCCTCGGGAAAAGAGGTCTGACTAATAACAAGGGAGTCATGCAGAACATTTGCATTAGAAGGCCTGCAGTCCTCCAGAAAGTTTCTCACTTCCAGAGGCGGCTCATTAATACTGGTAGCTATCACTTGATCCTCATTTAATGCACACTTGCAACCTTTAACTTTTCAAATAAGATCTCTTCGTTTGCCTCAACCCTCTGCATAGTATACACGAGATATTTCTCTTTCTAGAAAAACAATATAATATTTAAAGAAAAACGTAGCGCAAAAGATAAGACAACCTTACCCTAAAATATATAGTATACACGAGATAATTAACCAACCACTGGGCAGTAAAAATGACTCAAGCTAAAATATTGGAATAATTGAACATACCTATCCTGCATTGCTTTAGAAGCTCTAAGTTGATCCTTACGTACAAGTAAATGAACATGACGAGCATATTTAGTCAGGTATAATGCTTCCTCCGTTGCTGTATCACCTCCTCCAACAACAGCAAGAACTTGACCTTTAAACAAGGGTGATGCGCCATCACAAATAGCACAAGCACTAATTCCCCTACTCCAAAATTCATCTTCACGAGGTAACCTAAGTCGTCTTGCTGTTGCTCCCGTTGCATATATTATACTATTGCACTTAACCTGAAATGGTCAAGGGGGAAAAGCCAAGAAGGAAATCAGAAAGCAAAAGGCACCATGAATTTTTTAAACAGTAAACACCAACATGGATGAATTGTATTGCTTTTAAGCATGGCACAAAATAATTAATCAAATGGATTAAACAAGGAAAGGCTAGAGTGTGAATTATTCTTTGATTCTTTGATAACAAAAAGAAAAAATTGGGGAAAAAGTTAATACACAAAGAAAATAAATTCTTAACGAGAAAGTCAAGTATTCAGAGTTTATTAATACATTTTGTTAGAAAATAATCCATCACCTTGCGTTCACTACTTTGCACAGTAAAAGGACTGTTCTTTACATCAATAGACTCAACATCTTCTTGAAATAATTCAGCACCCCATCGCTCTGCTTGCCTCCGCATCCTGTCCAATATAATGTGTAGATTATGACCAATAAAATCTCTACCAAGGATCCTTAACCAATATCTCTTCCATTGGGATAGAAAGCAAGAAGAACCAAAGAATTTCCCATACTTTATTTTACTTTACCTATCCATCAGATCTGGACCAGTAATTCCATCAGGAAACCCAGGAAAATTCTCCACTTCCGTAGTAGTCATTAACTGTCCTCCAGGAACACCGCCTGCTTGGAAACCCTCAAACACCACAGGCTTTAGATTTGCCCGAGCAGCATATATGGCTGCAGTATATCCAGCAGGACCAGAACCAATGATTACCAGATTCTCGACTCCTGTTATAAAGAATACATTATCACTCTCTTATCCCGAGTACCTCAAATTTCAAACTTATTGCATAAAACAAAATGTTACCAATTATTTTTCATTATATCAAGGAAATTATAGCGTGGAAAATGATTAGAGAAAAACCTCAAAAACCAGTTCAATTTCAACCAAAAAGATGTATAGAAGTTAGAAGGTATGGAATATTATCTATTGCCATATCAAGTGATGGTGATTAAGTTTATATGTCTATCAAATAAACTACATCTACAAATGTTTACAGAAATGAAAAGAACTTATCCAACTACTCAACAATTGAATCAGTTACATATCAGCCCACATATTTTCCAACTAACATAAGGACATATTATATCGATCATTGAGGTGCAAAAGGAAGAAATGTCTACTATCAATTTAAAATTGAGTCAAAAGACAGACCAATGAATCCGCCTCAAAAAACATGCACATTGATTATCTATTCGAACATTAGAAAACTAGTAAATGTATGAAAAGCCGTGGACTCACGTATAAAATGGAAACCACAGATTTCACATCAGAAAAGCTGAACACCAACTTAGAGAACTAAAAGAACTTTTAACTCGATTCTCTTCAAAAAATGACGGAAAATTCAAATAAGATATTTTGCTCTGATTCTCAATGTCTTACTGCTCCAGTACATTGCACAAATTACATCATACAACATCCTACAAATGGAAATACACACATACATTCAGAACAGGTAAACATAGAAGAAAGACAAATGACTACGCTTAAAAAAAAAAAAAAAACATGCGCATTGACTATGTACTCAAACATCAAGAAACTAAAAAAGCGTAAGAAAAAATTGTATAGTCACGTGGAAAATGAAAACCACGGATTCCACACCGGAAACCTTCACCATCAAAATCCGAGCACTAAAAGAACTCGAAACTCGATCCTCTCCAGCTCTACAGCACCAGACATTACAAGAACACAACATCGAAGATATTAAAACACACACAGTTACAGACTTACAAACGCAGCAACGAGCACAAACACATTACATTAGCACGGACGAACAAAATCAAAGTAACCTGGAGACGGAGAGAGGTCGCCGGAGGACGCGCGAGGGCGAAGAAGGAGACGAGAGGAGCGGGAAGCGAGGGGGCGGCGGCGAGCGGAAGAAGACCTGAGGAAGACGAGACGGTGAGGAGGCGGCGGCGGAGCATTGGAGACGGTGGCCATGGCGGAGAGGTGGTGAGAAGGAAGGGCGGGGCCGATTCCTATCTTGAGAGAAGCAGCCATTTGAGTTTCAGACCATACAATTTACAAACCAGACACTGAGAGAGCTCTCTGTTTTCTTCTTTTCTTGGGGACTGTGTCCCACGCGCTCTATGTTTTATCCGGAACTTGCCACTCTCCTCGTGGACTCCAATGATAATTCGTATTTGGTAATCAAAAATATTGAGAACAAAAAAAATTAAATTTTATTAGATGGATTACAAGTTTGTCTCTCAACTTTCACCAAAGTTCTCTCCATTTGGTTCGTGCATTTTAGAAAAATTTTAATTGATTCTTGAACTCTTGAAGTGATATTTAGTCGTTTGCAAATGTGTAAGAAATTAATATTTAGTTGCAAATCTAGAATGTAAAAAACCTTTAAAATAGACTTTTTTTTAAATTTAAAAAAAAAACTCTAAGGGACTGTTTATTTTTCGGAAATGTAGATGTTCGGTATCTATAGATGCCTGGAATTTCAGATGCCCGGAATTTTAGATGTTAAGATAACCACGTTTGTTTCGTAGGAAAATTTATAAGGATATCCGGGAATATTTGGATAGTCACGTTTGTTTTGGAGGATAAATTTATAAAATGGTCCAAAAATACCCTTACCAATAGTTATATAATTGATAGATCATTTAATATAATAGATTTATTTGAATTAATTTATTTATTTTTTATTTTTTTATATTTTATTTTGTACATGAATTAATTCATATTAACTTAATATATATTTCATTCACGCTTTAATAGTTTCCAAAAAGACAATCATATAATTTATGCTATTTTGAGTGAAATTTATTTATCCTATCATCACATTATATTTTTTTAAGAGGAAAAATATCACAGGTATGTTGATCGTAAAAAAGTTGTTGATTTAAAATTGTATATTTATGATAATAAATATTATTAATAATGTAATTCCTTCGTTAAAAATAAAATGGAGATATTATATAATTTAATTACAATTTATTTTACATGTAAATCTAATATACAAATATACATAATAACATAAAGTTGTTCATTAGACCATGAGTACATTGATTTATTTTAATTATAAATTTAAAAATTTTAAATAAAGAATCTTTTTAGGAAAAATTAAAGAAAATATATAGAGAAAAAAAATGAAGGGTAAAAATGTAAAAAGTGGATTTTCTCAACCTGGGAATCTTGGAAACCCGTGTTTCAAAATGACATCCAAAACTCGTAAGATGCCTCCCGTATGAGCATCCTAGGATACCCGGACATCTCAACATCCCCGGGTATCTTACATTCCCACAAAACAAATGTGTGAATTCAGATGCCCGTCCAACGAGAATCTTGGATTCCCACAAAACAAACGGCCCCTAACGTTGATATGTCTAATATCAAGTGTAGGAGTGATATACCTTATATTAGTTTATATCAATCAGTGATATACCTAAATTGAAATATATGATTGGTATATTTAGTGTGACCAATGTACTCTGTATTAGGTATGTCACTTGAATATACCTGATATGAAGTTTACTGCTTTTATACTTGGTTGTCGGATATATTAATGATATACCTAATATAAAGTATATCATTAATTTATTTAGTGTGGTCGATATACTTCATATTAGGTATGTCTACTTCATATCATTAATTTATGTCGATGATCTATCTATACTATATATAAATGGGGCTATGGTGGAGAATTTTTGCTTTACATTTTTGCCCTCCACTTTTTAATAAAGACCTATTTTACCTTTCAAACTTCTATGGGATGCAACTGTTGGGTCGAGGTGTCTGTTGAGAGAAGTGATGTGTTCATTTACATATGGTGCGATTGTATAACACAACATATTGATGTATTTTTTTAGATAGATAAGTTAATCCAAGAGATGAGATTCGATGAAATGATATATCAATTCCCAAATAGGTGTGATTACAAACATCTATATAGCATGAAAGAAAACATCATGTATAAATTTGTGTATTTTTTTTATCTCTCAAAATGTCTATGAAGGCTTTTCTCTTGCAGAAAAATCAAAACTTTTCAAAAAAAACGAAAATTAAAAGTTTTCGTTATTTGCAAGCTGGGAAACACTAAGGATCCGAGAATCCATAAATTTATTTGATTTGATGATGAGGTAGAGTATAAAATTACATTTTCATATTAATATATTAATGATTTATTTTAGTTTTAATGTTCATATTCTTCCTAATATAAACTCTTGATTGTTCATTGATCTTAACTACTTTTAAATTCCTTGTTTCATGTTTACATTTATGTTTATGTCTTTATTAACTAACTTGAGTTTCTAAACTGATGAGTTAGTTTTGACTAATAATTTATGTATTGTGATCTTATTTGAATACTTGACAATGAATATTTCTTACCTGAATTGTTAAATTAATTATTTTACATATTAGATTGCTGTATTAGTTTTCATATTATACTTATTAATTGGACTTTTGCTTTCCTATTTTGCCATTTAAATTTTCCAAAATTTATATTTTGTCCTTCAATTTTTGGTATGTTGACAAGAGCAATTATTCAAGTAAATATGTCTGTTGAGATAAGTTAATCTCATAGCTATGGTTAGAGTGTTATCATCCACATATGATGTGATCTATAATACAATATGAAGCATCACAATCAAATGGTAGAGATGTGTCTATAGAGGAGAAAGTACGTCTCTTGTTTTGCCTTTTAAATTTATGTAAATTCATATTTTAGTTTTTTAAACATCATTTTTAATATAGTTGAAAAATAAACATTTAATTCCACGTGCATTGCACATGATTATTGCTAAAGACACGGTTATTCGAGTTAAAGTGTATGTTGGGAGAATTAATCCAAAAGGGTTGTGACTATTCGATGAAACAAGAAGTTAATCCAAAAGAGTTGTGACTATTCAAGTGAAACGGTGTGTTAAGAGAAGTTAATCAGATGAAGAGTACAACTGTTTGATGAAGTAATGCATCTATCCGCATATAGGTTTCATAACAAATCATCTATGAAACGAAAGATTACGTTTTTTCTTCTTTGACCTAAAATTCATTTTCAAAATATTAATGAAGATTGTTTCTTTTTCTTCGTTAGTGAAAACTGAACCATGTCAAAAGAATATTTGAGAATTCATAAGCTTGTTTAATCGATTGCAAAGTAAAGTATACAATTATATATTCGTGTTATCCAACTTTTATTTTTCTTTAGATTATTTTAATAATTTTATGTATATTACTTCTAGGTTATATATTAATGATACTTTCATGTTTTAATATTTTGTTAATGTTATTTTTCAAGTTTAATTTAATATTCAGTTAATTTCTGAAATTTTAAAATATATTCATGTTATTAGTTTTCCTATTTATCTTAATATGACTTTTTGATTGATATTGTTCTTATTTTATTTTTCTTGGTCGTGTGATTTTTTATCCCATATTTTTCAATGATTTCATGGCAATAGTACCACTTAGAAATTATGTTTAGTTGCTATTTTATATCTTAACTAGTATATCTAAAAGGAAGTATATTATTAGTATAGTTGATGTATCATGTATATCATTGGTATACCAAATATTAAATATATCATTCTTATATATATTTTTTTTGGAAAAGGTAATTCACATATTTAGTATAACTGATAATACTTCAGGTAAGGGATATCAGTTATATCGATGATATACTTTATATTCAGTATATCAATTATATACGTAAAATGAGATATATTATTGATATACCTGATACATCAATAAGAAACATGTTATGTTACTTAAACCAAAATCTTCAATTTGAAAAATATTTATCATTGATACACTTAATATGAAGTATATCGTCTATATATTTAACGTGACTAATCTACTTCATATTATAGGTATATCGATTCCTGAAAATAACAAAAGGCAATATCGAAATTAAAAAAATTCTTAATTTAAAAGTTTTCCATATTTGCTTTTGTTGACATTAAAAATATCATGGTATTTGGTTGGCCTCATCTAAATTTGTGTCATCAAATACTTAAACATGTGTAAATTTAACTCTATCAGGTAATCTTTAAATAATATTATCATCGTGTCACATGATGACATCAATGTTAAACTAATTAATTAAGTTAAATGATGGCGACCTATTAAACACAAGATTGAAAGTTCAACGATCTATTAAAAAGCCAAGAATGAGACTAAATAAGCACAACTATGAAAGTTCAAACTTCAGTATATGTTTACCTAGAGTAAATTCTCTTGACGTGGGAAAGAGTTAAAAATAAGATTATCTTATGATCCACCGTATTAGTTCCCGTCGACATGTTGAAACATTTCTATAGTATTGCAATAAATCAACAAAATATGAAAATTATCAACAAAATATCAGTAATATAGAAATAATATATGTATTAAAAAAATAGAGAAATAATATTAATATTAATAATTTTTTACTTATTTAGAAATGGTGAAAATACTTATTTATTAATTTAAATATTTGTTGCGGGTTTTTTTTATTTTTATAAATTTAAAAAAATATATATCGATATTTTTATTGACATTTTTATGAAATTGAGAACTCGGTATTTCCACCATCGATATTGATATTTAAAAAATCTTGTTTGTGATAGTTCATTTCTTAAACCTTTCAACAATTGTCATCTTAGTTTAAGAATCGCAAACAAAAGAGTTTTCAATAGCTCAATGCATTCAAATTTCTTTGACCCAAAATTGTTTATAACTTCAATTTAGTCCCTTATCTTTGCCATTTGAAAATTTTCAATTTAGTGCCGATATTTTAATATATTTAGAATTGACTGGTGATAAATTTATACGACATAGGTACTTAGAAGATTGGTGAAAATTTAGAGAAGTAAAAAAATCACATAAGGGACGAAAATTTACAATTCCTCCTCAAATTTAAAGATTTATTTTTTCGATAACAGTAATTTCATCTCTAAATTTTGTCAATTCACTAAATATCATATTATGCAAGTTTAATATCAACCAATTTCAACATCTTCCGACACAACGAGGGACTAAACAAATATGAAAACATAAGAGATTATTGAGGGAAAAAAAGCACCCAAATATTATGGAATAAATTATATATTTA